GTCTGGCAACATTTGGCTCCAAATAACAGCCCAGAATGCATATTCTGCCAGGACAGGTAAGCAGAATTAATGCAGAGAACATACTGAAGCATTCAGAAGTACTTCATTTACTCTATACAAGCTGGCTTTTGAGCTTGTGCATAAAATAGCCTCCTGAGGCTTAGAAATAAAATACTATTTAACATTCTGCGCATGGAGCTGTACTTTGAATGAATCAGTGGTGTTGTCAATATGGGGAACCCTTTCAGTTTAGCACGTATGAACTGAGTAATTCTGAACTACTTTCACTATTCCCATTCCAGTAAAAGCACAGGATCCAAAGACATTACAGGAAGGGGTTTATAGTTGTTCTCTGGGAGTCATTTCAATTCTGTCAGATCACTGACTGTGTCAGCAGATGTTTGCATCATCCAAGGTTAATCAGAGGGAATAAGGAATCAGCATCATCATAGGTCAGTGGAATTGCAGAGTCTATAAATAAAGGGATTAATGTGAAATGCTGTAAGCATTAAAAAAGCTTTTGGTGTAAAATATGGACTCTGTCATTTCCCTCAAAGGCTGGTGTGTCACTGCTTCTGATTTCAGCATGTACCCCACAAGCCAACAGAGACCCACCCAATGAATTAGTTTGAAGTGAAATTTTTTTTTTTAATTGAAAGATTAGAAGCAAGGAACAGGGAAGAGAACCTGCAAAAGGGGAGGAAAATTATTCAGCACTGCACACCTTGTGAACTATAAAGAGATGGCATGTTAGGAAAGACACTGTATATATAGTTTCATGTGCAAACTGCTGGCCAAATGTCAAGGAAGTGCAGGAGAGAGACTTAGAGTTATATTGAAAATGTAATTCTAAAGACAGACCACTTGAGCCAAGGATTCAATAACTAATGGAGAGGAGGTTTGATACACAGGTCAAACAATTAAGCCTTCAACAGGAAATATTTACGGGCTGAGATTACAGAGCTGATAAATGAAAGGCATCTGGGATGAAAAAGAATTACTTCAAAACAGTTTAGCACTGCTATCTTTTCCATTTATGATGGCTGCTGACTGAGGTGGCATGCTACCAAGCAAGGATGTTTTGAACATTATGGTTTGTCTGAATTAGGATTTATCAAGAACCAAAGTAACTCAATCTACAATTTTCTTTTGACACAACTCTACATGCAAATAGTTTATAGGGCAACAAAAATACACTTTTTCTCCTAAAGACAGCAAAAATGGTCAACTTGAAGTGAAAATAAGGTGGCTTACATCAAGATGGATTACGGTGCAATCAGAAAAAGCATACATCCAGATGAATTAAGTAAAAAAGTAAAAACTTAAAGCACACAAAAAATTCCATAACACTTGCTTAGGGCATGCATCCTGATCAGTCATTTATCTTCCACATTATGCTGGAACTTGAAATTCTATTAGATAATACACTGACAATAGCACTTATTTTGTTGCACACATATAAGCATAATATTAGGGATTCTCTAATTCTTCTAGCACAATCCCATATTTTGCAGTTATTGCTCTGTAGAATTCCCTTGATAATCTGAGTTGCAATATGAAAGTAATCACTCCAAGTAGGATTGCTTTACAATGAGGTTACAATTTCTTTGCATTTAATTTTTTCTTTAATTTTTGAGATAAATGCATTAGTAGCCTCTTTGCTTATTTCTTCTTGTGTTAATACAGTTCTTTAGCGTAAATATCTTTCTTTTATGTTGTACGCCCCATTCAGTTTTTGTCTAATCCACACAAATATATCCCCCCTTCTTTGCTGAGCTTTGCCAGACCAACCAAGCCAATGTCTTCTGCTCCATTCTTTTACAATCATCTCTCCATTCCCTTTATAGTTCCAGTAAGTACATCCATATCGTTTTCTCACACGGCATGCCTTTTCCACAGGAGTTATTCAAGTTGCACACAGCTTTTGCCCGGCCCTGAACTTCCAATGGCAGTATCTTATCCAGTAAACTCTAAATCACATTTTCATGGTTTACTCACATTCAGGTTGTGCTGAACACACACATTTTTTTCATATTAGTTGCTTCTGACACTAAGCCTACAGCAGATATTCTTACTGCCAGTCTCTAAGAAAACAGCTTTATCTTATCCAATCTTAACCCATTCCTTTTATGTCAGTCCTCAGTCGTTTGAATTCGCTCCTTGTACTGACCGCTGGTTTAATCAGGATGTGTCTATTTTTAAATGCCAAGGTCATTAACAGAACTATGAAACAAGAATGTTTGCAAAACTCTTCCTTCAGGTTCACCATTTATAAACCCAAGCCAGACTGAGTACAAGCCAGCGTCCCACGCTGTTAACCTCTGCCAGCATAAGATATTTCTTACCATTCCACTATTCCCCATCCTACGTGGTAGTTTCACGTGGTGCTGAAAGCCAGATACATCACAAATACACCAGAGAAGGCTAATTTTGGCTCTTTTCCCCCCAGATTTCTGTCTACAGACAATCAGATGTTTTAAATGAAATAAATTTGCTCACCACATACGTACTGATTTGCAGTTGGCAAAGTTGTACCACTTTTTGGTTTTCCTGGTTTCCATGTTTCCTTCACAATTGCGGTGAAGTTTGCCTCCTGCTGAGGCTAGACAATTTTGGTATAGTTCCTGGGTCACATTATTACCCTTTCTTTCCCCATCTTTAGTGGAAGAACCACAATTGAAGTAATCAGTTTAAATGAAATTACTGACCTGCATCCAGTCATTATTCACAACATAGTATTTTTACACATTGTACATCAATATTCTTTTTTTGCATATAACAGTTAGTGAGCCTTCCTAGGGGACTGCTCGTTAGAAGGAATAGGCCAAATTTCCATTTTGACAGGACTTACATTTCTTAGAGCTCAAGGTACTTTACTATTTAGAAAAACATGCTCTACCTGAAGGACCAAAGGTTAATTTTAAGCTACTGAAAACTTGTTAGCAACACTATGTTTCTGTGCAGTCCTTCAAGTAGATAATATGTAAAGTGAGTGACCACCATTCTGAGTCTAAATCAGCTACACCCTCTGAGCCATTTCAAAAACATGAAGCCAAAGAAGTTATAAAAGGAAGATCTGCACAGTTTTCCTCACAGCCAGTTTGCTGATGGTTTGTCTCACATGTGTTAATCTGCTCAAGGAAAATTCACAACCATTACAATTTTGTCTATTGAGCCACATCTATTAAAATAAAGAAATGAATAAAAGAATAAACATCTAAGCCCTCCTACTTCCTGCAGGTACACTACATCTTGCTACGAAAAACCTGAAATGAAGAGAGTTCCTGCTGAGACTGAATAGCTGCTTCCACAGCAGTAAAAGAAGGTGATTGGTTTTATTCCTTTCTAGAAGTGTCATGCTCCTTCTCTGGCAGTCTTTGGAACTCCCTCACTATTGTAGCATATTTAGTGATTATATCCATAAACAATATTACAGTCACCAAGCTATCAGACTGCTGCTGATTTTTTAATTTAACAGTTCCTCTGAGCAATAACCAAGAAACACAACTCAGAATTAGTCAGAGGTAGCATTGGTTTAATCTTTGAGAATGATGAAGCCGGTATGTATAAACTACTGTAATTCACAGCAAATTAAAACAGAACTCTCACACAAGCAAGTATGTTTAAAAATCCTTTAGAGATAATTTGAAATGTCTTGAAATTAATTAATTAAAGTTAATTGCTTTTCCTGGCCCACCTTAAAAAGGGAAATGTGAAGGGTCATATTTAAAAATAGATTAGAATTAGAATCAATAAGAATTTTTTCTCTGATGTTCTCCAAGAGAATGTGAAGAGAAGGGTTTGCAAAGGTTTTTTTATAAGAAACAGCTTTATAGTTGTGAACAGAAACACACATTCAAAATTCCCCCTGCACAAACAACATTAACATTTTAATCATAGAATCACAGACTGGTTTGGGCTGAAAAGGACCTTAAGGTCATCATCCAGTTCCAATCCCCTGCCACAGCCAGGGACACCTTCCACTAGACCAGGTTGTTCCATGCCCTGTCCAACCTGGCCTTTAATACAACTGCATTTAGAAATTCCTGAAAAATGTTTCTTCCAATTCCCATTTTCCAAAAAGTTTTCCAAAACATAAGATACCCAAAATAAAAGTTTGGAAATTAGACAGGTCTAAAATTATATGGCATTAACTTTGGGACATCCTTTTCAGATTTGGATTGTTACAGACAGCTAAGTGTGTGAATTACACATATGTTTGAATATTAAGAAATGTTACAAAGACATTGAAACCAAAAACTCCTATTATTAAAATCTGCAGATTGCCCATATAAGCACATAGAAACATAAGCATATTGCCCAAAGTACATGTAATAGCATCACAGTATATTTGGTTTGAGACATAAGAAATAAACAGGACTTTTGATAACACCAATTGTTTACTCCAATAAACAGCTATTTCCTTTTCCTCAAATTTCCATACACACAACACAGACAAATTAAAGTCAGCTCATTGTTCTGAGAGGTAACTACCAAATTCTATTGGAAAGCTACTGATTTCAGTTTAGCACAGGCTTCCCTACAGTCAACATGGGCGCAATTGAGGACTACAAAACCAGTAAAAAACAGAAAAAGATATTTTTGATTCAGACATACCAATGAAAAATGTTTCTATAACCACACCCAAAATGGTGAAATTTAAATCTGATTTTAAATCCAAGAAAAACAATATATATGTCCTGAGTTACCACAAGATAATGTGGGAAGGTGTCACTTGGTGGCTACAAAACTCAAAGCACATCCACGGTAACAGCTCTGGCACTTGATTCAACTTGGATTAGTTCATGTGGATTGCCATCATCTTACCTTACAGGGTTTCCACAAAACATGGAGTTGTGGTTCCCATCAGTGCTGACTGTGAGCACTTGAGAAGCATGTACAACAGACTACATGATCCTCCCCTGGGTAAGGAAAACAGCAAAAAAAAACCAAACCAACCCCACAACACCCTACCTTAATCTTTCTTTGTATTGAAAATATTCTTGCTAATTAAAAATACTATGAAAGGAACAAAGCAAAGTAAGTTATAAAAGTTCATGGTTTTGTTACCTGGGGGCTCAGTCCAACAACTTGCTAAAAGACTGTAGAGTACATTTGGTGAAAGGCTTCTGACCCCCAGCAGTACCTTTGTAATTGAGGCTTTATGGAGGAGGTGGACTCATTAAGCCTAACATTATGAGCTTAGAAGACAACTAAACCTGGGTCTGTTAAGGATGTATTCAATAAAACTAAATTAGGAAATACATATGTTTAAGGGGAAGGATGCGATTAACTCTGAACTGTTCTCCATCATGATGATTTTTTTTCATTTTGAAAGATAATGTTTAGAACTGATCATGTGTATGCTCAGTGTAACTCAAAACAGCAAAATGGTCACCGGCATTAATTCCATTACCCTTTGGCCTTTTAACTGCTTTTATAGGCAGCTTTTGCCACCCTTTCCCTGGATATTCTAACAGCAAAGATTCTTAAGAGGCCAATGGAAGGAATAAGAAAGTGTGAGGATATTTTATACTTTATGATAATAAACATTTTAAAGCTGACAAACTGAAAACTTACACTATACAGTGTATGTGTATAATTCTTACAACTCTGTATGACCCAGCTATGTTTAGAAAAAAAAAGGCTATCTAATTTTAGTCACTCTTAACAGACCAGCTGCTATAATTTTTATTTACTGAAAATACTAATTCTTTATTTAACCTCTAAGTAGTTCAGAAAAAGCAGAATGTAAAGACTAGTCTGTAAAAGCTAAAGATGTTTTGTAGTAAGAAACATATGATAAACAAGGCAAGCAGCAATTCCTTTGAGGCTTTGGCCTCTGTTAGCCTGTGCTAGCAGGTCTGTTTGACCTACTTTTTAGCTAATACAGATAGACAATTGCTGAATCGGAACAGGCTTCTGTGCAAACTCTACACATCTAAAATAATAACCTAAAAAGTGCTATGTCATACTCCAAGCAATCATTTTTAATAACTGAAGCTGATTAGGGATCTGCAAAGATGAAGTTACAAGTTTTAACATGCCCTAAGGGGATATTAATTTATCATCAATACACAAAAAGTACTGGCATGGAAAAACATTTTTAAGGAAGATAGTTATGTAAATTAATAACTCCGGTATTTAAATTAAATATCTAGATATTGAGATTGCCTCTGTGTGTGTGTTTGTTATCTGTTACATTGGGATGAAAACAGGGGTGGTTCCTGCACGTTCTTCAAAGGGGTTAAAAGCAATTTGTATTCAATACATCGATGTTCCACTTTAATCTGTCTACGATTAAGAAAAATGTCACACCTAGTTGGAGGCATAATGAATGAACAGCTGCGTAATAAAGCACGTGTATTATGGGAAATGAGCTACATGGGTCATGGAAAAAGCTTTTTTGTCCACAAGGAGTCACGTCTGCAATGGCAGTATTTATTCCCTGAAGTAAAGCTGTTCAGACACGTATCTCAGGCAGTCAGCAGCCTGGCTTGGTCCTACTTGAAGTATCAATTTCTACAAGCTTCTTCATGAAGTGCAAAATAGTGGGAATACAGCACACTGTATGATGTTTTAATATCTGTAATAGCTAAAATGTACGGATACAGAAAAAAATTAAACTCTTGGTGAAAATGCACTGCTGCAATACATTGTTGGGTAAATGCAATGTGACTAAATAAACAATTATTTTCTCACATTTCATTGGTCACAAATATGCTATTTGGCTAAAGACGATTTTTACAATGTCACTACAAAATGGGATTTTTGCCATTTTACTCAGATAATGTTATTAATGACAGAGGCTGTTAATAAGTGAGCTGAGTCAGAATTACAGTCAGAAATCACCAGTTGTGCATTTTCCATTTGTGACATTGGAGCTGTTTGATTCAACTCAAATATTATTCATGGAATGGAATCAAAAATTTCATAACACTTCAGAGCAAAAGTGTAGGTCGGAAACAATTCACTTATCACTTTGGTGACCCCTGCTTATGGCATATAGATGTATAAATACAAGCGTACATACATACGCATACGTATACGCATATTTTTAAGTATATAGCTTTTGACTAGAAAAAGAAGACAGTTATGGAAAAATATACTAAGTCTTCAGCTAAATTCCTCTATTATTCCCTTTATTTTGTGCCAAGACCTTTCTTCTCTCCAGCTATGGTCTTTCACTTATGTCTGCTTATGCCTTTTTATTTTTGCATATTATAGCTACAGTATCTAAAACTTCCTAAAGCACATAGGCCTAATGATGGCAGTAAGGTATTTCTATTCCGTATTTTTAGTCAATTTTTAAGCCTGGAGATCACAATTTGATATACTCTGGGTTTTATCAAGATTAATATAGCTGTACTGAATTCCATTCTCATTTGAGAGTGGTGATTACATAAATTACAACAAAACAAGTGTTTATAAAGTAAACTGATTAATTTCTTTTTCTGCATTGAGCTGTTATTTCTAAGCTAAGCTGACATGCAATTCACAAGTATGTGCTTTTTAGATAAGAAGGCAGCAAGGCAGTATTCACAGATGCACATCTGTTGGGTTTAGTCCTTGGGCATAATTATTTGTACTTAGGTTGGATGCAGTTTGTCTGTGGCTCTCACGAGGCTACAATCTTGAAGGGGCAGTTATTGTGCTATGGAATGGTGAAGGAGGCAAGTGGGGTTCCTTAATGCTTTGCTGCCATCATGTGGCCGGTGAGATCAATAAAATGATGGGGAGGAAGATCAGCCATCAAAATAACAGGTCTGGACAGCCTATCTGGAAGCCAGAGACTGGATCCCAAATGATTTTAACAACTTACTAAGAAGCTGACTGACTGGACATCAAAACTCAGCTGCTTTTCAGAACTGTGACATTTAGTCACTGCCATTTGCTGAAAATACCCACAACAAATGCTACGGCTCACTTCTCTCTTCCAGGTTCTCTAAGACACCAGTGTTTAAATTGTGCCTGCTCCAGGAAGTATCTATTATCCCTTCAACTAGCAAAAGCATCAGACTTGCATTCAGTACCTTGCCGAGTAAAACCCTGCACAAAAAGTTCTAAGTAGCAGAACAGTAGCCTGGAGTAGTAATTACTATGATCAAAACCAGCTGTTCTCAGCAATACCAGGTTTAGGAGTTATAGCAGCATTTATCCCGAGGAACCTAGGGTCAATGAAAAATTTATAAAGGAAAAGAAACTATAGCCCTGAGCCTTACTCAGTGTTACTAACACGAACCGTGGTCCGCTACGTAATATAAAAGTGAATGAACCCCACCTAATTTTCAGTGTCGGTAACTACTCTGGGTCAGAACTTCTTCTGTACCCTATGACTTATCTTAAAAAAAAAAAAAAAGGCAAAAAATAAAAAGGAAAACAATATCTTTCATGCTTTAACTGAAATTCATTTCCTTGGCAACACCTGATGACAAATGAGTCCATAGAAAGTTTGAAGGAGATGTCCAAAACCCGGAGGATACTTCACGTACTTTGATGTTGATAGAAGGAAAACTATCTGGAGAAGGTATGAGAAAACTAGACTGTATGGGAAGAGTTTGGCTGTTAACTGCAGCTACAATACTAGTCATTTTCTGAAGAAAGATCTAGTCTTGGAATCATTTTCTAAATCTGTTATGTAGCTTGTGGTATGTGACACAGCGTGCTCAGTACTCGCTTCACAATCCACAAGGCCATTAGCAAGGGATGATTGCGTTTTACCCTTCTGCATCCTTGGATGTTCATCCATGAGGATACAGATATGGGTGAGGAATTCATATGCCAAACTCTGGAAAATATTACTTGGCTTCCCTGACAGATTATTTTGGCAGTCCTAATGGCAGGTTTTTGGTTACTACTGGGTCTGCTCTTTGCTGGGGCTTGTGTTAGAGATAACTTTGTTCTTGAACGGCATTTTGGTCTTAACATAGAAGCATTTCACTAGATTCATCTGGTTTAAGCATTCAGTCATTGCGTGCCTTTTCATTAGATACAAATAAGAGATATACCATCAAATTGAATATTTTGCAAGGTCTCGGTTTCATAAAAATAGCGAACTTTACAATCTTCAGTATTTCCTCCCTCTTTACCACAGATGGAAACTAAGTTGGAAACATTTAATCCGGTACACAAACATGTTTTTATTAGGAACAAAACCACTGCAATTTGTTCACAGCTTCTTTTTAAAAAACATTCTGATGTAAACCTATTCCATGTTATACATCCGTATGTTGGCTTACTTATAAAGGCAACAGCTATTAATGTCTTTATTTAAAAAAAAAAAAAGCTTTCCAAGGTATCCAAACTTCTGCTACCCCCCTCAAAAGGTTTTAAAAGGCCAAAACCTTGCAAAATAACTGTGTGATCTTTAAGGTTCCTTCCAACCCAAGCCATTCTGTGGTTCGGACTCTATGTGCTAACCATATTAAGGGTAATCCAGACAACCTAGTGAAGAGAACATGGATTTTCCAGGAGTGCACATGGAACAAATCTGTGTTTCTAGATATATATGTGAATATATATATATATATATATATAGTGTATATGTGTGCTCTGTGTGTGTGCACACCTTCTGAGAACATTGCTTCAGCCTTACTTCAGAACCTAAGCACACGAGGTGCTTTGCCTCTCTTGGGCTGTTGGATATGACAGGATGTATTTTTCACTAACAAAAATAATTTGTGGTATATAGTTAGGGGTGAGAAATGTGTATTGGTGCTCCAGTGATACCCTCTCAAAAACAAATGTGAGGCTGCACCTATCTGTCTATAGAGGGCCTCCTGCACCTGGTCATCCTGGTCAGGTGGCCTGTAGCAGATGCCTTTAATCTGACCCTTAAGCTCCTCATCCATCCCCAGGCAGAGCTCTGCACGCTCCAGCTGGTCACTGAGGGTGACAACCCCTCATCATTATCTCCAGTTTGTTTTTCCACCCACAACTGTAATTACATGATTAATTCTCAACCTTTTGAGAATAATCCAACCAACCTTTTTTGTCTTCAAATGAGAAAATGCTTTAAAATACATATAATTTCAAACACATGAGTTAGCCCACCAACCACAATCTTTTGCATGTTCACACCATAACCAGTGACAACAAAGAAACGTGCAGAACATTGACAGGGCTACCAAATATAAGTAGGAGGGCAAGCCAACTTTGGTCAAGGCAAAATAAACTTTTTCAGAAGTGGTCAGCCTAAAGCTGACAGCAAAAAGGGACCAAGATTGGCTGGTAGAATATTAAACCTGGGGACTTAACAGGGAGTGTGAAGGGAATGGCTACAGGTATGGGGGTAAAGAGGGAAATGTATGCAGAGCCAATGCGGAAAGCACATGATAGACAGTCAACCTGTAACATGGCAAGAGACAGAAGAAATAATATCTTCAGGGAAGGTACTTACATTTATAGCTTGCAGAGACAGTCATGAAAACAGTGTCTGGTCATCATTGCTATCTGAACATAGTAAAAATGAGGCCCTGTTTGAAATGAGAGAAATAAATGTTATGATTATCATTGCAAAAAAAACAAACAAAAAATAGATTTACACAACCAGTTACAGGCTAATAATCTGTATGTATGCATATACTTAAGCATGTAAGATTTTGTTGCTTTTTTTAGAGATGAATTAGGATTCAGATGTGGTATTTTCTGAAGCTTTGTAGAAGCACTTATCCAGCTGAATATGAAGTAAAAACCAGTAAATACACTGGTCTCATCACAGCATCCACTGGTGGACATTGTAGAGGTATAAGAAATGTTTGAGACTTAAAACACCTTTGCTTATAAATGAAGAAGACATGCTTCTTCTTTAAAATAGTATTAATTGGTATTTTAGCATTTTAACAATAAAATTCAGTAGCAAATTAGTAAATATTGGTGCTGCCATGATACCCATCCAAAAATGAACATACCATTAAATTCAAAGCCTACAAAATAATTTATTGTAAAATGATTTATTAATCATAAAGCAAAAAGTGCTAAAGTGGAAACACCGCAAAAAACTTGGTTGAAGACAACAACCCATTACTATTTGAAAAAAACAGCACTTTGCAAAATGCTCACTTGCCTGTAAAACATTCAAAATATGAAAACCAAAATAAGATTCTATGATTTCAGGTCCAAATTCAAATTTAAGAAATAATAAATTGCCTTGGACCATAAACAAGTATCTGTCTGACTTCCCTTTGCCTGGTTTCAATCACCAAAGAATCATCATTCCTATCAAAGTGTTGACCAGTTTGTAGCAAGTAACTCACACAAAAAGGCAAAGTACTAAATAGTCTGAAAAATGTAAGTAAGCATAATGACAGGCTTTTAAACTTGTTTAAGGATACAGGGCCACAACTGTAGCTTCAAGTAGCTGGGAAACTTGTTATGTTTCCAAAACTCAAATCAAATTCACTACTGGCATCTGCTAGATGTGACCAGTTGAAGTTCTTGATGTATAAAACTAAGTACAATGTAAGATTTTTGGTATAGCTTGAAACTTCAGAAAAATACAAACTTGTTTGTATCGATATTCATATATGGAAAATAGATTTTCTTGAGAAAAGTAAAACCAATCTATTGGGAGAATACTATTTTCTATCATTAAACCTCTAAATGATAAAGTAGACATAAGAATCACAGAAGGTGAAAAACTACAAGCCCAGTAAAGATACAATTTCATTTCACCACAATTTCATTTGAGTTTTGTAATGGCACCACAAATTTGTGACAATGATCACTGGCACTTATCTGGGATCCTTTTTGGAATATCGAAAAAACTGAAAGAACTGCAGTGACAGAACCTTTGCCCTTACCATGTTGAACACAGAAGTATGCCTCAATACAGAAAAAAGAGGAAGGTTTGCTCATGCTACAGCATGCTACACATGAACATGAAAAAACAGAACAAGAAGCCCAAACCCCACAAACACAACTTATTCTTAACCTTTCTTCTACTTTCTGTGTCCCTCTCCATCAATTGGTTTTCATAGCAACAGTTCTTGAACCAAATTATTTTGTAAAAGCCAGAAACTCCTTAGAGAACACGCATTCTTCAAAATGCAGCCGAGCTGCCACAGAGCAACAGGCCTCTGTTATGTTCAATTGCCACATGCTGCTTTTCAGTCTTCCTGCCTCTTTCATCATCGCGTGGGTCACATCACAAGCTTGTATGAGATGAAACCCTTGTGAGTGATCCTCCTCTCATGCCAATAGCAAAGACTGAAATTACGCACTACTCTGTTGGCTGCACTGGTTTGTCTCTCAAGGACACAAATTGAATGCCAATGAGATAACAGCTCCATGCAAGCTCAGGCGCACACACCTACTGTTGGCCTTTGCTTGTCAAGAAAACTGTTATAACAGGGTTATTATTTCTACAGCATTGAAAAGTACAAATAGCGCAGTTTAGTTAACAAATCTTGATTTTGACAAAATGTTTCCTAGTGCTGAACTGAAAACTGTGTATAGTTACAAGACTGAGCTAAAGATATTCCAGTTACAGAGTCTGGAACTGTGTCATAGTCAATGTACACAAATACAACTATAATATTTCATTTATACCTTATATTACTGTTATTAACTGAACTGCTGAGCTATAAAGAATATAGTTTGACTACTTTCGGTCCGCATCTGAGATTTCAAACCTGTTTTTTTAATAATATAAAATACAATAGTTCTGATGAAGAAACTTTCATAGTATTTGTTTTAACTATTGTTATTATAGTAACTTTCCAGAACACACATAACTAACTCATATGTTTATAATAAATAACAACAAAGGTTGTCCATATATCACCTTTATGGTTTTGGGTGGACATAGCTTCAGATAATAAACCTAACATTTAAGCTACCCTGTTCCCACTGATAAATTACATGATTTATATGATAGCTATCCTGAGGAAAAAAAATAAATTATAATATTAAAGAAATATTCTGGTTTCAGATTTATCTCCTTCCATTAGTTTCTATCGTGAGAAAATGTCATCACTTGGTATGAACTAGTTTGTTTTGAAAGTATGTAATATTAGATTTTAATTGCTAAAATGGTTCTGAATTTCCTGTATTAATCACTAATCTAATTCTTTTGTCATAATAATCTCAAAATGTGATCTGAGAAATTAAAATCATATTCAATTTGAGGAATCTGTTTATGGCTATAAAAGCTAGTTGTTCTTTCAGCCCTTCCCTAGTTGGATAAAACTTTTCCTAAAACGAAATAGAAAAATCAGGAGTGTTATCCATTAGATGTTAATATTCTGAAAATCCAGAGAGTGAACATTATTCTGAGTAACAAAAAGAAAAAAAATCAATTTAGACATAGAAACTGATTCATACTTCTGAATGCCAACACAATCATTTTCATGCGGACTCCTCTCAAGGTGTTATTACTATACCAACAGAAGTTATTACCATAACTTAAACCTTCTGATTGAGTTGGGTTATATCTTTTTAGAAGCACATTAACTTTGGGGGGTTTTATCCAGTAATAGAACAAATTCACTGCTTCCTCAGTCAAGTTATTTCAGCTGCTGGTTACCTGATTGAGAGAAGCAGCACACTGTTTCTCATCTCTTCCATCAATTTTCAGGTTCCAACCAAGCTATCAGTATGCTTTCATTCACTGACACAGTTTTTGTTTAATGGAGATGCTTTTAGTCTGTGACAAGGGCAACTCTTAAAATTCTTTTTTTCCTTAGTCTAACACCACAAAGCTTATATTTTTAGACCTTGAATATTTGTTGTAAATCTTCAACTCTTTTGAATTTGTCATCCAGGTTTTATATTGGACAATTAAACCAAATACCAATACAGCAAAATTTAATTAGGCTTACCTGTTGATTTAAGACTGTATCAAATATGATGGCAGACACTAAGAGTAAATATGAAAATAATGCTTCCAGTCAGGAAAAACTGACTAAGTAGTCTTCTTTAATCTTTCCAAGGGTCTTCAAGATCCTTGCCATCATCCCAGTCTATTCCTTCTGTATTGCACTTAGACCAACAGGCACCATAGCCGTTCTTTCAAAGTAATGGGCAGTACAACCAGTTGCATTGGTAGCCCTGAAAAAGACGAAGCAAAAAGCTATTACTCAGAGTACTCATGCCATACGCAGTTTATTTTTAGTCTTAATACAGTGCTCTCAGAGCTAAACAATAGAGGTAGCAAGACAACTGCATGTTTCAGATTTCTCATTATCCATCTCATAGGATGGATAAAGAGACAGCACCAGCAACTCCAAAGAACAGAAGCACAAGAAATATGTAACAAAGGGAAACTCCAGTTCAATCTAAGAGAAACAGGGAAGAAAATGTGAAAAAAAAAACCCAAACTATTATTTACTGGCTGGTAAACAGCCCAAAATCATTTTATTTGAAAATTATATGTAATTCATTTTATTTTGTACCTATTATATACAATAAATAGGTATAACTTGTGTCTTATAACTGGTTGTCTTATGAATGGTCCCTACTCCCTTAGTAAGAGTTAGGCCAAATACTTGAGTAGAGCATAAGCTAGAAATACACAAGTCCAGGTCTCCAGCTCACTTAAACATGCAGGTCTTCCTTCTAACAAGCTAGAAAATACAACTTAGAAAATAGAAGACGGCTCAGTATAAATAATGTTATCAGATAACTAGCAAAAAAAGAAAATGAAACTACCCCTTTTCTATTACAGAAAGGCCACTGAATATCAGACTGAGCTGTGACCCTAACTTACCACTTGAAGAATCCCTACAGAACTGTATCTTAATAGACCAGAAATGCACCTGTGCAACCCCAGCACTTCTAGCACAGGTCTGTGCCTTCTTTGCTGTCTGCCTCTTTATGGCTTGCAGATGCACTACCCAACGAAACAAATAAAAACCCCAAACCCCCAAACCAAGCCAAACTAAACCAAAAAATACAAAAGAAGAAAACCTCACCAAACCCCTTTCCTTTAGCAAGAAAAACGTGCACTATCATTTTTGAAAATACTACCCTAGAGAATGGAAGCGACCAAACGTGTGTTTGGACTTCTGGTGCAAAGAAATGTTTTCCTCTTCTAGCTTGTTTTACAGCCTTCAATCTTTCAACACTGTAGTTAATGCCTTTTCACAATGTACAAGGAAAATAGCATGTTAAGTACTAGCCTGCCTCATAGCTTTTATTTTGAGACCTGAAATATTACTTTCTACACAATACTCAGAACCTATTTCAACTTACTTTTAATTCAGTTTTTGTAATTCAGGTAAATTATTTCGGATTAAAGTACTTAAAGCACTGAATTCAAACAGCAGTAAAAGTACTTTTCCCAGTACTGGCTGTTTAGTTGGGCTTCAGCATTTGATGATGTTTCTTTTGTAGAAAGCAATTTAGGGCTTGTTATCCATAAAGAAACATCTCAAAGATCCAGGATTTCTTTGATGCTGCTGGCCCACAACTTTTAAATTAAAACCTGTGGGTTTCCTGGGTATTGCTGGCTTCCATTTTGATGCCCCAGTATTTCG